TGGGGGAATACCTGTTCACCAGAGCACCCCAGGGGATGACAAGGTCCAACAGTCACAAACTCCAGCAAAACCATTTTAGTCTGGACATAAGGAAAAACTTCTTTACTGTCTGAGCCCCCAAGGTCTGGAAGACTCCCCCCAGAGGTGGTACAAGCACCTACTCTGGACACTTTCAAGAAACATTTGGATGTTTATCTTGCTGGAATCCTTTGACCCTAGCTGACTTCCTGCCCCTTGGGCAGGGGGCTGGACCTGATGATCTTACAAGGTCCCTTCCAGCCCTAATGTCTATGAAGTCTGTGAAATCTATGAAATCTCCGGAACAAAACAAAAACATCCAAAATGTTTTGGAAATGTTTCGGAACATTTCAAAAGCGCCCCCTGGGAATAGTCTGGCACAGCCCCACTCAAAGCCCTCCTTTCAAAGAGCCTGGAGGCTGGGGCTGGGTGGGGGATGGAGCCAGGCAGGGCAGCTATGGGGGATTCTCCTGTCGCTCCCCCCACCTGCAGAGAGGCAGGGACAGCTAGAGGAGCTGCAGCCGCCCAGCTTTGTCCGCCTCTCCCTGGCCAATCCAAATCTCCAAATCTCTCTGAATCTTTTCCAAATCAATTTGGAGGCTTCAGATTTAATTTGAATCTTTTACTTTCTGAGAGCTAGGGCTGCTGGGGTTGAGCAGTGCCAGGCTCCGGCTGACTACTAGAGCTGCCCCAGCTCCCAGATAGTGCACAGCATCCTGCCGAGCTGTGCTACACCTACGTGATGTGACAATTGCTGCATGGGTTCCAAGCAGAGGGAAGGTGGGGGTGATCCCTGCTGCCCCCCACTGCCCCGTGCTGCATAGGGCGGCTCTGCCATGAGCCCTCAGAGGCCCCCATCACCGGTGCTGCAGCCGGTGAGTGCAGGGCTTTTTTTTTCTTTCTTTCTATGTGTGGGGTGGCTAGGGCTGGGCGGGGGATGGGGCAGGGCAAAGCAGCCATGGGGGCTTCTCCCGTGGCTCCCCCTGCCCAGGGAGAGCCAGGCACAGATGGAGGAGCCATGGGAGAACCTGCAGCCGCCCAGCTGTGCTTGCCTCTCCCTGGTCGATCCTAATCTCTGAATCAGCATTGAAACTCCAAAACAGATTTGGCTGAATTGAAACAGAACAGTGATCCAAAACACCAAAATGAATCGCTATCATCTGAAATGGCCAAATCCAAAATGAAACACAGCCATTTTGCACAGCCCTAATTTGAAGAATGTAGCAGTAGGTATTGCTATTGATTGTGACCCTGATCCATGAAGTGAACAAGGAGTGGTTCTAGGCAATTGAAAAACAGAATAAGTAATATTTTGCCAGAGGATGGTTGAGTAAGGAATTTTTGGGGTGTATGTTTCCATTGCATGCTCTGCCATTTGCTCTTGGGATCATAATGGTGGGCCCAGGTCTCATCCCTGGTGATGATGGACAAGAAAAACTCTTCATCTTTGTCCCATGCACATTGCAGAAGCTGTGTACACACTTTCACATATTGTTTATGCAAATCCATCCATTGCTATGGCACCCAATGGGTGCATACTTTCTGGTAATTCAGGTGATCATGCAAAATGGCATAGATACTGCCATACAAGGTTATTTGAGTAAATGTGATAAATGTAGGTTGAATAGAAGCTTAAGCCAATATGCAAAATGCAGGTCTGTAAAAATGCAAATGCATAGCCGGGAAAATCAGAGTGGATAGGAGTTAATACGTGTAAGACAGGTAGGGTAGGGGGAAACAAAAGAAGGGAATGTCGACAGGTGATAAAATGTAGCTGGTAAAAAGTACAGAAATTACCTGGGGTTATCAGAGGATGGCTATTGCCAGCACTTACACCTAGCTCCACCACTAGTTCAGGAATGCTCACATCCCTATTCACACACACAGTCACATCAGCCTGGGCAGCATTGTCCTCCATTGTAGCTGTGTTGAGGCATCCTGCCTGTGGTTTATCTACTATAGATGTGTAGCTGTTCTTTATCTTCTTCACCTCCTCAAAGACTGTTCATTGAGCCATACAGTTCTCACCATATTGTGGCACAATCCTACAGTGAATTTCACTAGGCGGCACACCCTTGACCCACAAAAAATGAATGACAGAACACTGTTCTTTTTTGGTGCATACTAACAGTTGTGCAGCCATGTTATTTACATGCTCAATACCATCACACGTGTGTTCTGCATGAAATAATAGGGCTGTTTGACAACATTGCCATCAGTGTTCCCCACTGCTGTGTAGTTCCATTCTTTGCCACAGAAATACAGTGTGGGCAGCCATTTTGCTGTTAGTTTCTGAAACACCCTTGTATTTTCTCTCTGAACTTAATGAGTTATGAAATATTTTTTTTGTCATCTCCATGAGTCTCACTCCTTTCCACTATTCTGATGAAGAAAGTGTGACTGTTGAATGAAAGCCCATTTTATTTTTAGTTAGTCCAATAAAAAGAATTGCTAGTAACTATTCCTTTCCCTTTGTATTCTAAATGATGGTAAAGACTGTTCTAATCCAGGTGCAACTTACAATTGCCTTGTACAGCATTAATGAATATTTATTATTTGATAAATTTGAGTGCGCCCTCTACAGTTCAAGGCACAAACACAGAAATATGGTTTTAGAAGCTTATATTCCAAAAATTGTACACCTCCCAATATGGTTGAAACAATATAGCTGAAAATTAAGATAAAGCAAGTTGACCAACAAAGCAATCATGGGTAAAGTTTTAAGTTTTACCTTTTTTTATTTTATTGCCTATTTTAGTATAGTGTTAGGCAGTATTGCCAAATAAATGGGACATACCTACTTGACGCAGCATGAAGGACAAGAAGATGCACAAACTTCTCATTTGTACTCCAATATCAGGTTTAATTTTAAAAAGAAAGAGAGTTGGAGTGTGTTTCTCTGACAAAGATGGCTGCAGGGAAACAGGAGAGGGAAGATGAATGCTGTAATGTCTTCCTGGTTTTGCAGAGACCCTGAAACAATGGCTGTGAGATTGCAATTGCTGTATTCATCTCAAATGCCAGCTCAGTCCCTAGTGATGATATTCTGAATGTCAGCAGCATTAATGTCTTCATTGCTTATCAATGCATGGAAGAAAAAAGAGGAAGTACCATATTATGAAGATCTATACAGAATTTCTAAAGGTGTGAAACATAGTCCCCTGTGGAGGGATGAAGGAACAGCAAAGGAGAAAGTTATGTAGCAAAGATAAAGATAAAGATGAGGGACTTGTCTGTTTAGATTATTATCAGGAAGTTATGTTGATGTCATATAAATATGAATTGATATTTATCTTGGTGTGTCCCTCAACATGCATGCTCTGGTATGGAATAAAATAGCCTTTTCTTGCTTTATTCCTTTTTGCAAGTGAATTAATTGAAATAAGGGTCACACCAGGATAATTACTTAATCCTTATGCCAGTATACCCCATCCCTAAGATGAATAGGACTTTAACAGTGGGTAGCAGTTGGAGAGGATCACAATTATTTTAATTTTCCACTAGCTTAAAAAAAACAGATATAATTATTCTTGGTGTAAGATATTGCACTTTAATTGTATATAAGTGCATATAAATACACTCTATTATGCAAGGCATAGGTAGCAAAGATACAAGCCAGATCTGGCCCATGGAGCCCTATCAGCTGGCATGCAGTGCTGCTCATTGGTGTTTGAGTGGATCCACATGCAAAAATAGTGCATCCTGGATGAGCCTTGTGCATGACATGCAGAGCTGGAGTGGACATGCCCCATGTGCAGCATATGGAGCCACTCTGGGATGCACGCTACATGCAGTGCCTGCTCCAAGATGCTCACTGCATGCAGTACCCACTCCAGGCAGCCTGAGATGCAAACTGAATGTAGTGCCTGCACTAGGCCAGCCTTACACACTGGATCTAGCATATGGTACCAATCTACAGGCCCAGTCTGGCTCATTGACTGCCCCCACATGATTACACTCCTTATGTAAGGTGTATTTTAAATAGTTTCATGTCAAGTATTTCTGAAAACAAATTTAAATACATTTGGCATTTTTTTAAGTTCCCAAACTTTTACCCCAAAGTAAACATTTCCCTCGCTCCTGCTACTGGGACTATTTTTCTCATCTGAGCAGGGGTTATAGTTAAGAAAATATGTTTTGTAGAATAGTTTCTCTTGCCCAGCTATGAATTTCCATGCAGCTTTAAAAAATATATATAATCAGCTAAGACAGGGCTGCTCAACCTCCGGCCCATTGGCCAAATCCAGCCCACGGAGCCATGGCATCTGGCCAGTGGGGAAGTCCATGGGTTAGAAAATTTGGCAGTGGGGGAGCAGTGGAAGCTCCATGTAGTTAGCTGCAGCCCCACCTGGAGTCAGTGCTGCGCAGTGGGATCAGGGTCAGGCCTGCCCCCCACACATCCAGACTGGGTCAGGCTGTTCCTCTTGCTCCCCCTCCAAGCCCTCCGCTGCTGCCCCAGATGTCTAGATCAGGGCTGAGGCACTCTGCCTTCACCCTCTATGTGTCCCACTTGGGGCCACTCCACCCTTCCCTGCCCCTCTGAGTGTCTGGATCAGGGGTGGGCTACTCCACATCCCCTCCTCCCCCCATGCCTGGATAGGGGTCACTCCACCCCCCATCCCCTGGCAGACAGATCAAGATCAGGTTGTGTATCCCTCCTGCAGCTGGATCTGGCCCACAGACAGACCTCACACTGCCCATCCAGCCTGCAGGGTGATAAGGTTGGACACACGTTAGGTAAGACAAATACTATTAAAATCCAAATGTTCTCACTGACCTCTGAACAAATTCTCTATTATCAGCTCATCAGTGAAGTTCACTTGTTTGCTTTCACTCTCCTCTGCCATGGAACACAAATATCAAAAGCTGAATTTGAAACATCATTAGATCACTTACAGTGAGAAATGCTTGTGTCAGTTACCAAAGGCTGGTTCAAAACTAATGTTTTTCTCATTGTCTCATTGTTGTTGCCTTTATTCTAGGTTTATGACCGATGCAGCTCGACGTGAGCAGGAATCTCTGAAGAAGAAGATTCAGCCTAAACTCTCTTTGACTTTGTCAAGCTCTGTCTCTCGTGGGAACGTGTCTACTCCACCTCGCCACAGCAGTGGAAGCCTTACTCCTCCAGTCACTCCTCCCATCACACCCTCCTCCTCATTTCGCAGTAGTACACCTACAGGTAAGGAGATATAATTTAATTTAACCCAAAATGCTAGTTTTGCTGGACAATATTGGCAAGATACTCTGTCATCAGTAGTTAGGACTTTTTCTTTTTTTTTTAATGTAAGGCATTTGGGGTTCTTTGCCTGCTAGTTCTTGATGTTTCAGGATGTGCTAGGTCACATCTTCAAACTCTTCTTCACATCTGGAAAATTTAGGTGTTCTTAAAATGAAAGCTTTGATTTTCATGTGGCCAAAGAAACTGACATTTACAGAAACAGCAAATATGGCAAGATGTATTGCACCAGTTTGCTCACGTCCTGCAACTATATCATTTTAAATTTCTTTTAAGATGTAAATTAAAACTGTAAATGTAATGTCATCTCTTGACTACTTAGTGGACTTGACTCTCCCAAGAATGTTCAACTCTCTAGCAGTGTAACATGCAAGTAGAAAGCCCATGCAGAAATGGGAGTTTGGGGATGGGTATGAAACACATTAGGGCTAGGGACAGACATTACACATAAACCAGTTTAAGTGATCAGAAACTGGTTTAAATGTGTAACAGAACGTAAGTTCAGTGCACATAAACCAGTTTCAAGATGGCTGAAACTGGTTTAAGATAAACCTGGTTGAATGTAGTATCAGACTTAACTGATTTGGGTCAAACCGGTTTATGCAACGTCTGTCCCAGACCCCTTCCTTGTTTAAATTAAACCAGAGTCCCCCAGCATCCCAGATGCTTTGCAGCCCTGGGCTGCGCTCTCTGCTCCAGAGAATAGGCCCTGTCCCTCTCTGCCCTAGCCAGAGCTCTGGGGGAGACTGCAGGCACACCAGGGTGTTCCTGCCTTCCCTCGCTGCTAAAGCACGGATTCCCCACTCCCTCCTTCCCATCTCCCACATTATGGACCCCAGCCCCATGGACCCTAGACATGTGGTATGCTAGCTAATGCTGAAGGGTGTCTCTGTGTCTCCAATTTCACTGGGTCAGGACAAAGGCAGACAGGACAAAAGCAGACAGAACAGTGTTTGCTTAGGGCTTTTTGGAGCTAATCAACAGGTCAGCTGGTAAAGTCCCTCCATTCCTTCCTTGGAAAAAGCTGTTTAAGAAGAGCTTAAACTAATGAGAGTGGCTTTTGTTTTGTTGATGGACTGATAAACACTGTATTATCAGCCCCCTGCTGGTTTGCTGTCCTGTCAGGTTTGCAGACAGTATGAAGAAGCAGGGAGAGGGAGATTGAAAAGTTCAGCATCATCAACAGATGCATGCACTTCACACACCACTTGCCTGAGAGTGCTAGCCTGGGGCTGGGGGCTGGCAACACTCCTGCCCCTTGAGCAACGAGTGGGAAAAAGCCTAGGACTGTGCAGGCTAGGATGGGGGTGTACCCCTCCCTAATCAGAGTGTCATGCTGGGGCCTGGCTATACCCCCCCACATTGTAGAAGGGAAGGGGGGGTGCTGTAGCACCCCCCAGCTTGTAGCCTGAGCCACTACAGGCATGTGCCTGCATTTCTTCAGTCCAGAGGGAATGTCTGTGTGATTGCAAACCAGTTCAACCAAGGCAGGTTAGACTAATCTGCAAAGATTAAATCAATTCAGTCTCAGGCTTTTTGAATGTTTGTCCCTAGCCTAGAAGGAAGTCCCATCCAATTGTGGGGTTGCAGCTGTTCAGTTAAGACCACAAATGTGAACAGCACAGCTTGGGATGGATTGTGGCCGGGATGCCTAAAGATGAGCCAATTCTACCCTCTCCCACATTTTGAATCCTTGTGAAATTATGTGGCCCTAACTGCAAATGAGGAGAAAATTAAGTTGGATATCAAATTCAAGATACAGCTGATAGAAAGGAGCTGAATCTATCCATGTGTATGCCAGAGACTGCCGTGTAGTGTAAAGCTAGCAGTTTTAAAGGAACAGCAACATAAATTTTTTGCGTGTAGAGTTCCATGCTGCTATGGCTAAACTGCTACACGTGCTAGCTCATTTGGAATCTATGTAGCATGCTGTAGTTTGCTGTGTTGGTTTGCCCTGTAATTGCTTGAGAACCTGGGCAGATCAAAGATGCAAGGTTTTCTTGCATGGGGACCAGCAAGGTTATTCAACTTCCTTCCAAATATGGAGGGGGGGAAATTAGCAATAAAACAAGGAAGAAAATAAGTGTGATATTAGAGCCAATTTTTCTTCTGTTTTTTCCCCTTCCTTCAAAAGCACGCTCCAAAGGGAATAAACATTCTTATAGATAGCTTTTCAAATTCTAGTCATGTATACATATTTATATACAATAGATATACGTATTATTTTGCACTGATTGAAAGCTGGAAATTGCAAGACTCACTGGTTCAGATCCTTAGCTGATATAAATCACTGAGGCTAAGGTAACTTTTACTGGATAGGAATCTGCCTACTGATTGTGGAAATGCTTCAAAATAAGTGCAGGAGAAATATTTTAGGAACTTTGCCCAATAATCTAAAGGAGAAATCAGAACTGTTGGAATCTTCCACAAAGACCTTAATGCCTTCATATAGAAGTATATTTAATGCCATTTTACAAATATAGACCCAATACAGTAATCTTACTAAAGAAAAATAACATGAACACCCTTTGCTTGATAAACTGCTATGTAATGTGTTTTCCATAAATTGTTTAATGTTTTGGTATTAATGATTAAATGGAAAAGTTGTAGATGTCTATGACATTTATGTCTGGGGAGCTGTGAAATGAATAGATTGTTTAGTGAATGTCCCCAGATATGCAAAAATAAAACACGTATGGTCAAACTAAATGTTCTTTTAGGACATGAGAAAATGAATATTTCAGAATTAAGTGTTTGTTTATAATTATTTTGTAAAGGATAGTTGGAAGAAACTGAATCATTTCCTTTGCTACAGATGTCAAGGAATCATTTTGACAACTTGCTGCTTTTTTTTTAACAGATCCCCACAGAAAAGGCTAATTTATGATGTGGTCAGGCAGTATAACTTAGTGTGTCTGTCAAGAGCACTGGTTAACTATCTACTGTTTGAAGTACATTCCATGAAACATTAAAAATTAAAAAGGAAGCTAGTTTCTGTCTACCAAAATACTTTCCTATTTTGATTTTATATATTTTTCAAACACTTTAAGTTATTTAGAATGTTGTTTTACCTGTAGTTAGAGGGATCAGCTTGTTTTGGCTAACTAACTTGGTTTCTGGGAGTTCTACTTGCCAGGTTATAAATAATACCAGGTTCCACATTCTGAATTCTCTGTTCCAAGTTCCACATCCAAACTGCGTTCCAAGGTCAGAATTTGTAATAGGCTGGTAGCAAAATTCATATATAAAACAGATATTCTTTCTTAAAGAACTTTACTATATGAACTCTCGACTGAGTTACAACAGCCTTACCCCAGAAATTTCAGTGTTCTCATCTCTAAAAACTTTTCTGGACCTAAAATAAATGTTGAGGATTTTTTTTTATTAGTATTTAACTACTTTTCCATCTTTTGATATAGGCCACATGAGTTTTTACACATATAGTGTAGTGGGTCGGTATACATATTTTTTTAGAAGAGCAATTAAGGAAAATACAAAAGAAATCTGTCTCTAGAAGTCATTGAGAAGGGTTACATCATGTCAAGGGATGTTCAGTGTCCTCTTTCATACCTGTTGCTCCCTTCCAGTTGATGGGGGGCGGGGGGGGGGAAAGAGGGTGAATGATGAATGAATGCTAAAATAATATTTTCCCTTCAAAGAACACTACCATGGATTGCTGTCGTCCTTACCTCTATTTTAAGATCTTCTGAATGGGCCAGGAACCTGCTTTCCTACTGCAGCCAGATCTGCCGAAAGCTATGCAGGTAGAATCTCATAAAGCCAGGAATGGTAGACAGGAAACTTCAAGTGTTCCTTAGTAAGCATGGTGTAGGGATTGCATATGTTGTAGCAACCATTTGCTAGGGAATCCTTAATGCTTCTCTAGCTACATTTTTAATGCTTAAGAATAATGGGACAATGTTTCAAAACCATGAAGAACTGCTATGCAACAGGCCTTCAGGAGAATTGAAAAATAATTTCCCTTACTTATTGGTCTGGATCTACAAAATAACCAAGTGCCTGAATCACCCTTGGGAACCCTCACTTAAACACACTAGTGAAAATTTGTTCCAGAAGGGAAAATAGTGTAACTGAAACCTCTTCAGTAAAAATATAAAGATAAAATCCCCTGATCCCCTCTTTGCCCTCTCTTCTAGGGCTTCAGAATGACAATAGGCATTGCAACATGCCAAGAAAGATTAACAAATCTAGTCTACAGAACACCCAAATGGGTGGCAAATTCCAAAATCAAAAACTCAACATAGCCTGAAGGTTGCTCCCCCTCTGGACCACAAACTCAAGGTTGTAGAGAACAGCAGAGGCTGGCAGCCCTTCAAGTAATTAGATCCAAGTTAAGTAGGGCTTTTCAGGTGTAAAGATCCAGATCTTGCATTGTACCCAGGAATTTATGGGCACCCACAACATACTTCTGGTATGACACTTGGCTTCATAGACAGGCCATTCATTTCTGAGTGGTTTCAAGGTGTGGCCCCAGGTATTGTGAATTACATCAATCTAGTCTGAAGGTTATAAGATGTTCTCTGATTTAAAAAAAAAAATCCAAAATTCTCTGATTAAAAACCCCAAATCCATGTTTTTTCCATGATTAAAATGAAATGCCACTATATATATAAGTATCAGTTGAACACAGTGTTTTATTGATACGTTTATAATTTTATTGCAGTTTGGAAGCCTAACAGTGCCTCAATCATTATAATAAAATAAATTCTAAATACCTATATATCTTGGTGTTTGATTTTGTTGGTTTGTTTTTTTTAATCATGGAAAATAAGAGCTCCCTCTGCCCCTTTTGCTCACCAGGACCTGGGTTGGCTGTCCTCCCTGCTGCTTTGTGGCACTGAGCAGCCCTGATATGCTGGTGCCCTGCCCCTGCCCATGTCCTTGCCCCTCACTCCCAACCTGCAGCCCCGCAAGCCTCCCTA